CCCCCAAGCGCCCCAGTACATAGTTGTATATTTTTTGTTGTGGGCCCTCCTAATTGTGGCATGTGGGATTCCGCCTCAGCATGGCCCGATGAGTGGTGCCATGTCCACGCCCAGGATCCAAACCAGCAAAACCCTGCGCCACCAAAGCGGAGCATGTGAACTTAACCACTCAGCCACGGGGCTGGCCCCTAATTGAGCTGTTTCAAAAAACAGTTGTAATATTTCAGTATTACAATGCTGCTGCTACATCTTTCAAGAAGTCATACAGCAGGGCTGGCTGGGTGGTGCAGCTGTTAAGTTTGCATGTTTCACTTTGGCGGCCCGGGGTTTGCCGGTTTGGATCCCCGGTGTGGACATGGCACCGCTTGGCAAGCCATGCTGTGGTAGGCGTCCCACATAGAAAGTAGAGGAAGATGGGCACGGATCTTAGCTCAGGGCCAGTCTTCCTCAGAAAAAAGAGGAAGATTGACAGCAGATGTTAGCTCAGGGCTCGTCTTCCTCAAAAAAGAAGTCATACAGCATAAAAGAGCATTCTGACTCTAAGTCAGAAAACAAGGGTTTACTGGCTGGCTGCACTGCTTGCTAGTTTGTGCAAGTAGCTTAACATTCCTAAACTTGTTTCCTAAGGTCTTAGTAAATGTGTGCTGAAGGACTGATTCAAACAGGCCTCAGATGCACCCATATCAACCAGTGTTTCCTCCTCAGAGAGTGAGTCCAAGCTCTGTGGGGTTTGGCAGTAGGGGGTGTGCTCCTCCACACTTCTTAGGCACTAGCACCAGCCAAGCAATGCCCTCGCCTCAGAGATCAGGGTCCAGCATTGCAGGACCCCTCCACCAAGTTTCTAAGTTCGAATAACCACAACTTCTTCCTTGTTCCCCCAGCCCAGAGCAGCGTTGCGGGGAAGAGACAGGCCTGCCAGCTATCCTTTGAAAGACCTGCTTACAAGGTTGGCCTTGGGCTGACATTTGGGAACTTGGATTTCAGGTGGGTTGCCACCATTCCCAGAACTGTCTCGCTGTGCCTAAACTGTGCAAGCAATGTAGGTTACGCTGAACATCAGCTTTCCTTGTGGAGTCTGGAATTTGGCTACGTGCCAGGTAGAGGGTGCCTATGTGATCAGCCCCCACAAACACCCTGGGCACTGAGTCTCTATGAGCTTCTCTGGTTGGCAACATTTCACACACACTGTCAGAACTTGTCAGAACAATGAAGCATGTCCTGTATGATTCCAAGACTTCACTGGGAAAGGACCCTTGGAAGGTTGCACTTGGTTCCCCCAGACATCCCACATGCTCCTTTTCCCTTAACCAATTTTGCTTTGTATTCTTTCACTGTAATAAATCATAACTATGAGCACAACTATATGTTGAGTCCTGTGAATCCTTGGCAAATCATCAAAACTACTGGTGGTCTTGGGTACGTGGGGTGGTACCTACTCCTTGTGGTTATTATTGCTTTCTTATCTCAGTATCCCATTTTTGTCACGATAGTTCTCCAATTCCTGTTTAAGAACATCCTTATATTTAATTTCCTGTTTAAAATGATTGGTGTACTTTTCCTGACTGGTCTCTGACTGACATGGCCACTCAGTAACAGCAAATTGTCTAGTTAATCCCCTTTGGTAGTCCAATTTTTATCAGAAACTAACATCTGTAATAGCACTGGCCTCTTGTAACTTAGTTCTTGATTCAGTCAAGGAAGGTGTTCTTTCAACCAAACATTTCACAAAGGTAATCCCTGTATGAAATCATTGAGCATGCTGGGAAGATTATTCTACTGATCTAAAAGCTGCCAGTAATGAGACTGTTAACTTTAAAAGCTTGCTTTATTTCAGGAAAAAAATATAAGTGATGTTCAGGTAAAGGTCTTGTTCTGTGGTTAAAATTCAGCCTGTATTTGTTTTGACTATAGGGTTGATTAAAAAAAGTATTAACACAAAGTCATAGCCATCTCTATTTACCTGAAGCCTTTCTGGTTTTGTTCAGTCTATATTTGGGGTTCTGACGTGAGCAAAAGGTCCAACAGTATGATTCTAAGTGGAAGTCAATCAGGAGGATTTCATTTGGAAAGATCACATGAAAGGCAGGAACTAAATATATTTATACATAGTTTTATTATGGAAGATTTCAAACATCCATAAAAATTAGATATAATACTATTATAAACTTCCCATGTACCCATAATTCAGTTCAATAATTATCAACAAATGATCAATTTTGTTTCGTCCACTCTATTCTTCCACTCCCAGTGGATTATTTTAAAGCAAATCAGACATATTTTACTTGTAAAATCTTCCGTATGAATCTCTACTGAAGTAGAGATTTCAGTTCAATTTCCCAGTCTTGTATATGTCTTTTTATATTTGGTTTGTTCAAAACAAAATCCAAATAAAGCCTCTTGAATTTTGTAAACCTACAAGAGTTCTCCACTTCCTCCTTCTTTACTTGACATTTATTCGTTGAAGAAAATGGGTCATTTGTCCTGCAGAATTTCCCACTTTCTGTATTTGGCAGATGGTAGACCCTTGGTGTCATGTAATATGTTTTTCTATCCCCGGTGTAAACCGGCATATCTAAAAGCTTGACCAGATTCAGATACAATTATTTTGGCAAGAATGCCTAATTTGCAGTGTTGTGTCAAATATATTTTTGACAGTATAGTTGGTTTGCACTCTTAAGATACTGTTTCCCACAGGTCTCTGCTCTGCTGGGCTTTAATTTTACTACCCATCGTTTCATATTGTATAGACAGACGTTTTAACCCCCAGTTTATAGAAGCAGTGTCATCTACTGAAACTGAACCAGAGTTTATCACCCTTAAGCTTATGACATTTTCTTTTGAGAAGTCAAATGAGTACTATACACTGTCATGTTACAAAGATTCCTTTATTTTCCCTTAAAAATGTTTTTATTTGGAAACTATTCAATTGGGTGACTCAACTCAGTAGGTGTTTTCATATGTCTGAAGAGTTGAATAAGAAAATGTTTGGTGAATTTAATAAAAGAAGGCCTTATATTAAGTACATAAGTATGTCATGTATTGTACTGAAAAATATGTTTAACAAGCCTTTTAGTTAACAATACCAATAGTTTGAAATAGAATTTAGTAGGAGGTGGCAGTGTAATGCCTATATTTTGTAGACAACTGGTAAGCCCTGTAGTTTGTTTTTTTTTGATGAGGAAGATTGGCCCTGAGCTAGTATCTGTTGCCAATCTTCCACTATTTTGTATGTGGGACGCTACCACAACATGGCCTCGTGAGCGGTGTGTAGGTTCACACCCAGGATCCAAACCCACAAACCCTGGGCCACTGAAGCTAAGCACACGAACTTAACCACTATGCCACCTGGCTGGCCCCACCACTGTTTTTTTTTTGAGCAGGGGTAAAATATGATGAAAATGAGTTCTAAAGGAAGACCCTACTGAAAATATTGAAGATTTAAGGCAAGAAGAGCAGGGATTGTGTATCTGAAGGCAATCTGATATAGAATTGTTTGGATGCAGCTACAAATAACCTCAATCAACATGTACATCCTGTGTTATATATACAGAAAAGTGTTTGACAAAACTTGTAGCTGGTGATTTCAACTCATTCCACAAAGCATCCAGTAGGGGATGACTGCAACGAACAAAGCAAGAGTAGAAAATAATAATCACACATACACACAGCAGCTGGAAAATTTCTGTAAATATAAATCAGATCAAGTCACTCTTCTGCCCTCAACCTTGAATGACTTCCCCTTGCACTTAGAATACAATCCAAAGTTGGTCCCATTGCCTCCCAGGCACTATGATAAAGCCCTCACCACCTCTGACCTCGTTTCCTACCCCTCTCCTCCTCCCTCACTGTGATGCAAAGCCCTTGCTGTGCATAAAACAGGGCAAGACTGTTCCTGTCTGGGGCCTTTGCACTTGCTGTTCCCTCTACCTGAAGTCACTTTGCCCCCAAATATTCACATAGTTCACTTCCTCACTTCATTTAGGCCTCTGTTCAGTATCACTTCCTCAGAGGCCCACCTGACTACCCTATATAAAACAGCACCCCATCTTACCCCTCTCCACCACCTTATCCTGCTTTAGTTTTTTTCTACAGCTCATGATTATCTGACACCGTATTATATACTAATTGATTTTCCCAGTAAAATACAAGCTTCATGACGGTAAAGACTTTTGTTCACCTACCCAGCATCTAAAACACCAGAAGTGCCCAATAAATATTTATTGACTACATTTAACCAACGATCTCATTTACTGCTCAAAACTGTATGCAGTAGGTAGCATGGCTACCCTCATTTTACAGTTTACAGGAAGCTATGCTGTACAAAGGTTAACAAACGGAGGGAAAGAACATCAGGACTTGATGACTGACTGCTTTCTAAAATGGGTCAATCAAAGCAAAGGCGTCGGCTTTGTAGGGAATAAGGGAAAGGCAAACCATCCGCGAACTCCAGTTAACAAGGTGGCCGGCCACGCAGGCCCAAGGCCTAGGGCACCGAGGCCCGTCCCCGGGGGCGTGACCCTGCGTGGCCCTCGCACCACGCCCAGGGCCTGCGCGGCAGGGCCCGTATCAGGCCGTCGTCACAGCAGGGCTCCGCGGCCAGACCGCGCAGCCGGGAGCGACGGCGGGGCGGCTCACCACCCACCCCGGAGAGTTACCTGGTTGACAACCAGGCCCTCGGGCTCCCTCCCGCCCTTGGGCGGGGCTCACGTGCCGGGCCTGGCAAGCGGAAGCAGCTCCCAAGAGCACGGCAGCCGTGGGCGAATCCGGGAAGAGCTCCGGCGCGGGAGGCGGGGCGGGCGGCGGAGAGTCTCACGCAAGGCGCCCGAGCGCGCGGCGGGAACTCGAAGGCGGCGGGGGAGAGGGGGAGCGTCCAGACGGCCCTGCGCCCCCTCTGATTGGCCCACAGGATGACGTAGGGAGTTTGCAGTCGGCCCTACGCCCGTGGGAGCTTGCGTCAGAGGTGAGCAATCGGGAAGGAGGGAGGGGCGTGTCGGGAGGCTCAGGGGGCCCGCCGATTGGCTGGAAGGCACGGGAGCCGGGCGGCCCGGCCGGGCCGGAGGAGGGCGGTGCCGTGGGCCCCATCCAGGAGGTGGCCGCCGGCTTCAGTGAGATGATCATGGCAGCTCGGACTGCTCAAAGGGCCCTGAGAAAGGTGGTGTCGGAATGCCGTCCGAAGACGGCGGCGGCAGCCGGAGCCCAGGCTCGGGCGCAGGGGCCGGCGCGGGATGTCAGGTAATAAACATCGCGGCGCCGCGACGAGGGTAGTTTTCTGCCTGGGCCTACTGAGTAGAGGGATCGGGGCGGGGGGCTGGGTTGGGGTGAGGGAAGCCGAACGGGATGCGTTTCCGCGTCGCTGGAGGTTCGGCATTTGAGGGATTGGGGCGCCCCGCATCACCCGGAGCGGAGGCTGGCCGGCCTGTCCCGAACGCCCCGTCTGTTTTCGCGGCTCTCTGCTCTCGCGAGAGGCGGGGAATCGTCGGCAAAGCGAGTTTGGAAGCAGCTGATAAAGGCGCTCTGCGAGCGGTGCCGTCGGGCTCTTCCGGTGTCTTCCCCTGCGGCCTGCTGCTGATGTCGGAGTTTCGCCCGCGGCGCGGGGCTGCCGGCTGCTGGGCGTGTGGGAGTTTGTGGCCTGGCGGTGGCCCCCTTCTGTCCTTCCAGCGTCCCAGGTGGCCAGCCGTGCCTTCCCAACTTCTGGTAGAGGTCTTTGCCCCCGCCCTTTGTGCTTTCAAAACTGAAGGCAGCCGAAGTGGGGCACTTGGATTTTTTCACACTGCACTGTAGCCAGAGGCCTCTAACCTTGAACGAGAATTGCTGGTTGGTTTCTGTTTGGTGGTTGGAGGTAGAGGCATGAAGGATTTCATACTTCCACCACTTAGTTTCCTGTTACTAATGATATTGTAATAAATTATGCTCGGAAGTTAAAGTTAGTGTTTAAAATGAATTCAGTTGTAAACAGTACGGGATGGAGGGAGACAGCACAAATCTGATTGAGCCCCAGGACATTTGGATTCGATGAAGAATTTTTAAAATACCACCAACCCTGCCAGCTCCAAATCCTTTTAGAAAAATATTGGTTGAAACTGAAATAAAATCATCTCCTATCGTTTACTCCTGTTTTAGCAAATAATCTGAAAAAGTAGTTCCAAGCACAACACACCATACCTTAGATCTGCTTGTATTACTCTTACAAAATGTTGGCTTACCAATAAACAAAACTGTTACTTTTGAGCAAAAAACAAATACGATTGTTTTACTCATCAAATTAAGGCTTAAATTCTAAGGTAAATGTTTACTGTTTATGATGATGAACAGGGAGGGAGTTGGTGAGTTCATTGCAAGGCTTAAGCATTAACTTAGATTCAGGGCTTATAACAGAGTATTTGAGATGTCATATTGTGACAAAAAAGCTGTCCTTCATCTGGTCTAGTTTTCATTTCATGGTTTAACCATGTGTATGACTGTGTGGCTCTTCATATTACTGTTGAAGACATATTCCTCTTTTTTTTTCTTTTTTGCTGAGGAAGATTCGCCCTGAGCTAACATCTGTTGCCAATCTTCCTCTTTTTGTATGTGAGCTGCCAGCACAGCATGGCCACTGACAGATGAGTAGTGTAGGTCCACACCCAGGAACCCAACCCAGGCTGCCACAGCAGAGCACACTGAGCTTAACCACTAGGCCACCGGGGCTGGCCTCATATTATTCTTGATAGTGTGTGAAAATAGATGTGCTGTCCAAGGTATTGTAACCGTAGTATGCAAACTGATCAGGAAAACTATTAGCTTTCTTTAAACACAGGTATTTTTCCCTTATGATCATAATGAGATTGTGTAGGGTTTCTTTTTGGGAGTTTGGTGGGCAGTCTTACATGAACCTGGTACTAAATTCAACACCGTATACATACATATGTATACATACATAAGCTTCCTGGTCAACCAGGCATCCAGTTCACCTCTTCAGAAGCAAGGGTCTTATCTTTTTTTAACTAAAGGTTTATCTCAGAGATGCTACCTTTTCTGATACTGATTTATCATAAAATTGTTAACAATTGTGCATAGTATCTACCACATAATTGGCTTCCCATAATGAATAACAGGGTATCTATACAAAAAGTGAGAAAAATAGATAAAACTTTTATAACTGTTAAAGATATCTAAAGAATGTCTTTTTTTTTTTTTTTTTAAGATTTCATTTTTCCTTTTTCTCCCAAAACCCCCCCGGGTACAGAATTGTGTATTTTAAGTTGTGGGTCCTTCTAGTTGTGGCATGTGGGACGCTGCCTCAGCATGGCTTGATGAGCAGTGCCATGTCCACACCCAGGATTCGAACTGGCGAAACCCTGGGCCACCGAAGCAGAGCATGAGAACTTAACCGCCCTGGCCACGGGGCCGGCTCCCAAAGAATGTCTTAAAAGGGAAACAGATGATTAGGCATTGTGTACATCAGATTTGGTTTTTGTAATCAATGTGACTAACAGAGATCCTAAATTATTTTTTGTGGTTCTTTTTAAAGGAGGAAGCTAAATTAACTAATTATTTTATTTGCACTGTTCTGCTTCATTTAGCAGAGTAACTGTTACTCATTTTTATTGGTATATTCCCACTTTTAAGCAAACTCTGTAGGTTTACTTAAAAAAAAATCACAATAGGCTTCTCCTAACATTCTCTCTGCCTTTAAAATAGGTTTCACATAACTAGTCATGTTTTTAAGGATTTTAGGGAACATGTAACAACGCTCTTATTCTCTATAGATGAATCTATCTAAAATATCTTTTGACTAAAAAGGAATATCATAGATATCTTTGAAATATGCTCTTACCTTCATTATAAAATCAAATACAACTTGTGATTTTACAGAAACCCTAGAATTCACAAAGCCATCTTGCTTTACCATATTTTCCCTGTTACTCATTTTTTGAAGTTGTTTTTTACAGCTGGATACATAAGAATCCTAAAATCTTAAAAGGGGCCAGTAAGTCCATCCATGCAGTTCATGTGTTTGATTCTTTTCCATTACATTTTAACCAATAGTCATGCAGCTTTTAGCATAACCATTTTCATTGACCTCTGTTTCATTGCCTCTGGAATAAGCTCATCCAATTTTTACAAACAGTTTTAATTGTTCAAAAGTTGTTTCTTGTGTTATGGAGCCCAAATTTGTCTCTAACTGGGCTTTTCTTTTACAATTTGGAGCCATATTCTCAGATAACATCCCTTATCTTCTGGCTGCATATTGTAAATTTCTTCATTGTTTGTCTGACTTGATTTTCTCTTCCTCCCCAGCCAGACTGTACAGTTTCAGTGTCCTTAAAGAAATTTTATTTCTGTATAAATCATGTTTTATATAAATTAAATATTATATATAATAACGTAAGGAGATTTCACCGGGCCTCCACAATCCTCTTTTAAAAAGTGATTTGAAGACTTGATTTAATGAAATAGCCCTCTCTTAGCTGGAACTCTTCAACAGCTTCTCCTTGAGAATAAATTTTAAATTGCTTTTCCTGGCCAGTAGTCTCCAGGATGATCCAGCTCCAACCAGTTTCCCCAACATTATTTCTTGGTACTCTTCTCCTGGCTCGTTATACCCCTGCTTTTCTGTTAGTCTGTTTAGTGTCTGGATATTGCCAAGCTCATTCCCTACTACCTGAAATGCCCCGGTCTACCTCTCCTCCCAAATATGTAGGCACACGTGTGTGTGAGATTACATATATAAGCACACACACTTGTTATGTACATACATACCTATTTCTCTCTTTGCGTGGCTGAATCCTCTTATCCATTATGTCTCAGCTGAAATATAACCTCAGAGGACTTCCTAGACCACCCTATGTAAAGGAGGTCCTAATCACATGTCCCCACTCCCATTTCTTTTTTCTGAATCCTCAGCTAGAATGTAATCTTTGTAAGGTTCGTGTTTGTTTTATTCATGAATGCATTTATTCATGTATTATTAAAATGAATAAATGTATTCATTTATATCCTTCCTGCCTAGTACGCAATAGAAGCTCAATAAGGATGTGAACTAATGTGTGAATCATAGTATAAAATAGTTATGTGATAGTTTTATTAGGGAAGGGCTAAAAATAGTTAGATGAGCAAGAGTACATTGGCATCTGTGTTTAGAAGTACTGCCAAACAATTAACCTTCAAATTACCTTGACATATGTTTTTACATATATGCATTGCAGTGGAAATTGGAAGGTAAAATAGAACAGAGCAACAGTTCTGACAGGGCCGTCAGATCTCTAGACCAAGAGTGAGACCTAGTTTCAAGTCTCATAGAGTAGATTAAGAATTAAGGAACCTCAGGGCTGGCCCAGTGGCATAATGATTGGGTTTGCGTGCTCTGCTTCGGTGGCCCAGGGTTGGCAGATCCTGATCCCGGGCATGGACCTAGCACTGCTTGTCAAGCCACCCTGTGGTGGCATCGCACATAAAATAGAGGAAGATTGGCATAGACGTTAGCTCAGCGACAGTCTTCCTCAAGCAAAAGGAGGAAGATTGGCAACAGATGTTAGCTCAGGGCCACTCTTCCTTACAAAAAAATTAAAAATAAAAATAAGTAAAAATTCAAAAAATGTATTGTTGAAATAAAAGAAATTAAGGAATCTCTGTGGATTCAGCTGCAAAAAACCGGGGTAGATGAGATTTTAGTTGAAAAATAAATGATAAATATTCAAGCAAGCATATGGCAGGAATATGTTGTAACACATGACTGCAGACTGAAAGCCAACTTTCTGGGAAAGAGACCTTTTGTGCTGGAAGCTTCTAAGCCTAACTGTAAACTGTTATTTTTAGTTTTCTTTATGGTGCTTAAGCAGCTTATTTTTCTCTGTATCTGTGCCTGTGTGTGTGTGTATTTTTTCCAGGAATGTTCTAAAGTGTGCCAGTTATTTTACAATCTCTATAATTTATGTTTCCTCTTAATTTTCAGTGTCACTCTAAATCAGGTGATTTTTGTCTTTTAGATATTTAGCGTCCTGTGGTATACTGATGAGCAGAACTCCTCCACTTCATGCCTCGGTGTTGCCTAAGGAGATGTATGCAAGAACTTTCTTCAGAATTGCTGCACCATTAATAAACAAAAGAAAAGAATATTCAGAGAGGAGAATTATAGGGTTTGTATATAATAATAGTTCTACTAAAAGAGCACATTCGTAATTTTCTATAGAGCATTATGACTCTTTTTTTCCTGGATTTTCTTCTTAATGACTCAGCTCTGGTTTTTCTAGGTTGGCCTTTCCATACATAGCCCTTGCTGTTTCATAAATATTTGTTGAATGAATATAATTACATGGTAACTTTACAGGATAGATTTGAACCTTGACACGTAAAGGAGATAACTCAACTGTTTATGACCTGCATTTTTATACACTGTTCTTTTCTATAGTGGCAACATTATTGAGATGTTGGGCCAAACATGTTTATATAGCTCCCTCACATGCACACATACATAAAGTACATAAAGACATGCTAACATCCTACCATCAGGAACAGAGCTTGGCAAACTTTTTTCTGTAAAGGGCCAGATAGTAAATATGTTAGGTTTTGTGGACCATACTGTCTCTGTTGGAACTACTCAGCTGTGTCTTTGAAGGCCAAAAGTAACCATAGACAATATGTAATAAACAAGGGTGGCTTTGTTCTAATAAAACTTTATTTACAAAACCAGGCAGTGGGCCAGGTTTGGCCACTGATTAAGGGGTATTTAGAGCAGAGGATAGAGACTCTGCAGTTCTGCTAAAACAGAAATACAGCATCCCTTCATATAGGAATTTCTACAAGGGGATCTTACATCCCAACAGGCCATTAAGTATTACATGAATTCTTGTAAAAGTGCGTTTAATTAATTTTGTCCTGTTGCTTTTCCCCTTCTGATTTTTCTGTAGTAAAGGACTTTTGGCAGATTCATAGCTTTTGTCACTAAAGTTACCTTTATTACTGGCTAGTCACTGTATTAGTTAAGGTAATGCTAGCAGGTATACAGATAAAGCCCAAAAGTTCATTTCTTTCTCATCTAAAATTCAAGGGGGCGTTCCAGACCCTTAAGGAGCAATTCTCCCAAGTAGGGAATCAGGAACCTAGGCTCCATCCACGTTGTGACTTTTGTAATTCTTTAGTCTTCAGAGTCTCTTAAAAAGATACTCCTGCTTCTTAACCACGTTGGTCTGGAAGTGACACACAGTGCTTACTCTCAGATGTTGTTGGCAAGAAGTAGTCATGTGACCACCATCTAAATGCAGGAGGGGGACTGAGAATTGTAGCCCCCTGATGGGCAATTACTTCCCAGCAACAGCGCCATGTCAAGCGAGCCTAAGTACTTGGTTAGGTAGACATCTTTGCCACAGCTGGCATCTGCTAAAATGAGATAAGGCAATGAAGAGATAAGAGGTCAAATAGTGAATTGATCTGCTTTACTTTTGAATTGCTGCTACTATCTTATACTGTTTACCTGCCATTTGACAGGCACTGCTACCCATCATATTTGTTGTTTCATTTAATTCTCACAACAGCCATGTGGACTAGATGTTCTTATTCCCATTTTAGAGATGAGGAAACTGAGACTCAGAAAGATAATGTACATTGTCTCGTGACTCCAAAGCTTATTTTCCCCACCGTAATTACTTATTCTTACTTGCTGCTTTATTCTTTCTCATGCTAAAATTCTTTGTATTAGAAATTGGCCTAATCTAACGCTCTTCATCTTATCTTTTTTCCCCCATATTTGACATAAACACATAACAGCTACTACCATTTAAGTGCGTATTAAGCATTGTGCACTATGCTGAAACTTTTTTTTTTTAAGATTTTATTTTTCCTTCTTCTCCCCAAAGCCCCCCGGTACATAGTTGTCTATTTTTAGATTTGGGTCCTTCTAGTTGTGGCATGTGGGATGCCTTTTCAGCATGGCTTGATGAGCGGTGCCCAGGATCTGAACCAGCGAAACCCTGGGCCGCTGAAGCGGATCGTGCAAACTTAACCACTGGGCCATGGGGCCGGCCCCTGAAACTTTCATTTAACCCTCAAAAGAACCCTGTAGAGGTATTTTTCAAATACGGTTGAAGAAAATGGAGTTGAGAGGTTACTGTGTTTTAGAGTTGATGTTTGAACAGTCCTTTCTGACGAAGTCTGTCCCCTTGCCCGCTATGCTGTACTGCTTTCTTAGTCGTTGTAAACTGCTTTCAGGGTAATCAGCTTCCAGGCTACTAGGTTTTATACTTTTCCATGGGACTTATTTTAGCATTTATTTCAAAGTGTCTGAAAACCTGGGGATGGGAGCTCCTCCACCCCAACCCCAGCTGTAGGTCTCATTTCACGATCATGAAGATTACTTTAAACATGTAAAGACTCATTCTGTCATATTCCAAAGATACCCTTTTGTAATTAGGTTGTGAGTGTGATTGTTTAAATTACTGTAGCATTTTAAGGCGAATTGCGTTTTAACGGTGTTGAATCTTTATAACCAAACATAACGTGTGTCTGACTCGTTATTCAGTGGTTTTTTACATGTATCCATAGAGTGTTGTTGTTGTTTGTTTGTTTTTTCATTTAAACTCTAAAGTGTTTTTCTTCACTTTATTTCTAGGTATTTTGTGTTTCTATGCTTCTTGTTAGTATAGGAAAGATACTAATTTTTATATATTTTGTAACAAGCTACCTTACTGAATTCTGAATTGATTCTCTTTGGAATTGATAGTTATATCACTTGGTGATTGATAATTTTGCCTAATTCTCAGCCACACAGATGCCTCATATTTCATGCTCTGATTTAATTACTTTGATACTTTCAGAACAATGTTACATAACAATGATGATAGTCAGCATCTTTGTCTTATTTTAACTCTAATAGGAATTTTTCTGGTATTTGACCATTTATGGAGGGAATGATAGAGTTTTTCTTCTTTTGGCTAGTCAGTGTGGTTATAATAATATAATTCTTAGTGTTAAACCTCCCATACATCCTTAAGTGAGTTGTTTTTGATTGTTGTTGTTTTTTTTTTTTAAGGATTTTATTTTTCCTTTTTCTCCCAAAGCCCGCCGGTACATAGATGTGTATTTTCTTTTAGTTGTGGGTCCTTCCAGTTGTGGCATGTGGGATGCCGCCTCAGCATGGACTGATGAGCGGTGCCATGTCCACGCCCAGGGTTTGAACCGGCAAAACCCTGGGCCGCCGAAGCAGAGCGCTCAAACTTAACCACCCGGCCACGGGGCCGGCCCCTGATTGTTGTATTTTTGATGCATTGCTGGATTACATGTGTCGGTGTTAGGATTTTGCCTCAGTGCTCACAAGTCATGTTGGCCTATTGATTTTGTTTTGTACGTTCTTTGTCAGGTTTGGGTTGCCAGAATGTTATGCTGGCTCATAAAAAGAATGAAGTTTCCTTTCTTTGTGTTCTAGAATAGTTTCTTTTCGATTTTTTTAATTACAAAAATATTACATGATTGTTTAAAAATCTAACAGTAGAGATGTATATATACTATTAGTCTGACTTTACTCCCTCTTTTTCCTGAGTTAACAACTGTTAATTGTTTAATCTGTGTCCTAGGACTTTTTAAATGTATTTTTATTACAGACATCCTATTAACTTAATTACTTTCAGGAAAAAATAAATACCAAATGTTTAAAATTTAGGAAATATGGTATATTCTTATAATTTTCATTAAATAGATAATAGAATCGTACATATCCTGTCTGCTTTGTAGTGTGCTTTTTTTCATGTAGTATACTGTAAACCTCTTTGCTCTAAAGTATATGTTTGATCTTAATTCTTTTAAATAACTGATACCAAGTTCCACAATATGGATATATCATAATTTACTAATCATTTATTATATTAAGCATTTATTAACATCTATCAACTGATAAACATTTAGGTTGCTTCCAGTTTTTCTTCTCTCAAACTCTCAGTTTTTATATTATTATTATTTTTTTGAAGAAGAAGATGATTAGCCCTGAGCTAACTACTACCAATCCTCCTCTTTTTGCTGAGGAAAACTGGCCCTGAGCTAACATCCATACCCATCTTCCTCTGCTTTATACATGGGACGCCTACCACAGCATGGCTTTTGCCAAGCAGTGCCATGTCTGCACTTGGGATCCAACCCAGCGAACCCCGGGCTGCCGAGAAGCGGAACGTGCAAACTTAACTGCTCCGCCACCGGGCCGGCCCCTCAAACTCTCGGTTTTTAAATGCTGGCCACTAGTTAAAATTTTAAAATAAGATCTGCAAGCCAGATCCAGGCTGTGGTCTGCCAAGTTACGACCTCTACTGTATAGTGTATTTAGCTCCCTTTTGTTTTCTGTGTTGCTTTGAAGTCATTCCAGAGTGTGGCTCAGCATGTGTGCCAAATGATCTATTGCTTCATACACAATAAATTTTATTCATATTCAGTTTGAAGTATACATATACCACGTAACTGGATGCAGTTAACACCTTTCTCTTTTTTTTAAAGATACTCTATGCAGGAAATGTATGATGTAGTATCAGGAATGGAGGATTACAAGCATTTTGTTCCTTGGTGCAAAAAATCAGATGTGATATCAAAGAGATCTGGATACTGCAAAACACGGTTAGAAATTGGGTTTCCACCTGTGTTGGAGCGCTATACATCAGTAGTAACCTTGGTTAAACCACATTTGGTAAAGGTAATAGTTTTATTTTTTGTTGATTTTAAATATTCCCCAAATATTGATCCTATCCAGTGGGTTAAGGTATAATAGCTTGAAAAGATTTCCCTGAACTAATAGGAGGAGGGAAAAAACCAAACCATTTATTATATCTCCTTTATTTTATACAATATTAGCATTATTCTTTCCAAGTAGAAATTTGACTAGAATATGGAAATAAGAAGTTCTTTCTTTTTTCCTTCTGTTGAGGACTCCTGACCCACAGGAAAGACTGGGCCACACAAGTGAGAAGTTTTGTAATTCAGTGTTTGCACTAGTTTTTCTGAAGTTACGGAAGGGAAAATGGTGAGAGGATATGAAGAAAGGTAGAAAAGATGTAAATGTGGAGAACATAAACATTTCTGAGGGCATCCTGCCGTGTTCTAGGTACTGAAATGCCAGGTACTGTTACATGCACTGTGTGAATCATCTTACCCTTGTCAGAGGAGGGTATGCGTATAGAAAAGTACTCAGACTTAGACACATAAAAAGGCAGAATTCCATAGAGTAATACCCATTTCTTTTGAATTCCTAGAGTGTGATGACTAAAGACTCTAAAAGCTGAGTTATGTTTTGTGCCCACGGGATTTAGTGGTGATGTCATTTCTTGGTTATTGGCCAGAGCTAAATGCCTTTGTCAGCTCTTTGTCAGGCGTTCAAGGACATGCAGCTCCCATACCAGAAGAGTGCACTGTCCGCTGAAGCTAAGACCTTGAAGTCCACCCTAGTCTCTGTCTCAAAACTTGAATTCTGCTTAAAAGGCTCCACCCCACTCTGGGACTTTGCCTTTCTAATGAATGTTTTCACCATGGTTTTGGAGTTTTTACCTCCTGCACTGCACTGCCTCTCTTAGACCAGCTAACATTTATTGAGTTCTTTGTGGTGCTTCATGTAAATTACTCACTTAATCTTCGCAACAGGCCCTTGAGATTCAAATGTTATTACTCTCCATGTCATTGTTGAGCAAACTGAGGCTTAGAAGAGTTAGATAACTTGCCCAAGGTTACACAACCAAGGTTCTAGCTCAGTCTATCTGACCCCTAGGAATATCTCTATAATCTTAAAATGTCTTTTATTCCCTCACCTCAATCTCTTAGGATTCAAACTCTTATAACTTAAATTTTAATATATTATGCTGTGTCTAACTAAAAGAATTCTTTAAAAAATCTAATTTTCTCCCCCTGGCTTCTTAACACATACAGGATACAGTCAGCTGCTTTATCACTGCTCACAGGCTCATGCAACCTCCCTCGCCCCTCACCCCCAACACCACACTTAATGTTCAAGCAATACTATACGTCCTTTTTTTTTTCGATTGACACCTGAGCTAACATCTGTTGCCAATCTTTTTTTTTCCTCTCCTTCTCCGCAAAGCCGCTCAGTACATAGTTGTATATTCTAGTTGTAGGACCTAATACCATACGTCTTAAAGTCATTTGTTGGCCCCAGGATATACCAGCAGAACTGAAAACTTAAGCCTTCATTGAGGAGTATAGACTTTGAAATAGCAATTTGGAAAATGGTGTGCTGCTGAGGGAAGGTGATATGTATTCTTGAGGTCAGTTGTCTACTAGGATAATAAGGCCCAGGTGGCATCTTAGGTTAGTAAATAAAGAAGCTGTATTTCATTCAAGGTATAATCAGTCCTAACAATGGACTAGTGACTATATTCTGGCCACCATTTTTCACACTGCAGGAGGCAACTCTTTAGTGGGTCTCAGTCAGCATCTTTTTTAATGATGTAGAAAGGGAAATATCAAGATATACTGCACATAGTATTGCTAAATCCTGTGTTTCATCGAGTATACACACATAAAGTATGAACACTGCAGAGATTAGAGGTCAGCAAGCAATGGGTTGGGGACAAGGGTCAGGGCCAGACTTTCAGGAAAGCTGGAACCGTAGAGGCCTCTGGAAATGAAGAGTAGCAAGTGAAGGAAAGACTAAATATGATTGACAAGAGAAAAATCTTCGGGTAGGAAAGAAGAATTATAGCATCGTGCTAGGGATCTGTGCCAGATACCTTATAAATGTTTTAGCCAGCTCTTACTGATAGTTTAAATAGGTATTATACTCACTTTACAGATCAAGGAAATATGGTACAGGGAGTTAACTTGTTCAGCATCACTTATAAGTGGCAGAGCTGGAAATAAACTTCCAGAAAATCACACCCTGTTTTGCTGCATGAGGAGAGAATTCTGAGTAGCCCAGTGGGTGACAGTGGAAGAGAGAACTGGCAGTCCTGGGAGCCCAGCAGAAGAGAAAAGGGCTTGTACTGGCGAGAGGTCGCTTCCTGGTACTAAGCCAAAAATGGGATATCTTTATCACCTGTGGTCTGACCTGTTAAAGTGTTTACTTTTCGAAGAAATCATCCTCAGTCGTAGATTCTGGACAGTCCCCACGGGCCTTCACTGTGGTTTTATGTTTCATTTTGTTCTAGGCATCGTGTACCGATGGGAGGCTCTTTAATCATCTGGAGAGTGTTTGGCGTTTTAGCCCAGGTCTTCCTGGCTACCCCAGAACTTGTACCTTGGATTTTTCAGTAAGTCTCTCATAAAGCCTTTGGTTTCTTCCAAATATCAAGTGAAGTTGGGAAAGAAGGAATAATCTATTTATTAGAACCCAGATGCCATAACTAATAATCTTAGGTGCATAGCAATTACTGAAAGACGCTTTTAAAAAATCTCAAATTTCTAAGTATTGGACTTTTTCTGTACTGACTTTATAAGAAGGAATGCTAATGAACCTTACCCTTTTTCTGTTTTTTGAAACCTTGAATAGTTGTTCCTTCTCTATTTTCTTTTTTTAAAATTTTTTTTAATATTTTTATTTTTTTCCTTTTTCTCCCCAAAGCCCCCTGGTACATAGTTGTGTATTCTTAGTTGTGGGTCCTTCCAGTTGTAGCATGTGGGACGCCACCTCAGCGTGGCTTGATGGAGCAGTACCATGTCCGCGCCCAGGATTTGAACCGACGAAACACTGGGCCGCCTGCAGTGGAGCACGCGAACTTAACCACTCGGCCACGGGGCCGGCCCCCCTTCTCTATTTTCCAATCTTTACAAGTCCATAAATAAGACACGTGCTGTGACTTTCTACCAGCTTAATAACAGTTTAACACCAAGTGAAATCTGCACATTGATCTGTACTTTATGAGGCAGAAATAAAGTGCAAAGGGGAAAAATATGTTTTTAGAATCTTGGGACTAGGGGCCGGCTCCGTGGCCGAGTGGTTAAGTTCTCGCGCTCCGCTATGGCGGCCCAGGGTTCGGATCCTGGGCGCAGACGTGGCACTGCTCGTCAGGCCACGTTGAGGCGGCGTCCCGCATCCCACAACTGGAAGGACCTGCAACTAAGATATACAACTGTGTACCGGGGGGTTTGGGGAGATAAAGCAGAAAAGAAAAAAAGATTGGCAACAGTTGTTAGCCCAGGTGCCAATCTTTAAAAAAAAAAAGAATCTGGGGACTATGGTATTTTCTTATTCGCATCACCTCGTTATAAAAAACTTAAAGCCACTTGTGGCTTTTTCTTTGCCAACAGATAATATACGAATTATTTCTGTATTTGCAACTCAAGCATTACATTTTAAGAAATGGTCATAATTTTGATTATTACTGTATGCTGTTTTCATCTCTTGAGTTGCTTTCATTAAATAATTAGTGGACATTGGAGCCGGCCCCATGGTGTACTGGTTAAGTTCATCGTGCGCTTCGCTTCAGCAGCCTGTGGTTCGAAGGTTCAGATCTCGGGCACAGACCTAGCACTGCTCATCACTGTGGCAGCATCCCACATAAAGTAGAGGAAGATGGGCACAGATGTTAGCTCAGCAACGATCTCCCTCAAGCAAAACGAGGAAGATTGCCACAGATGTTAGCTCAGCGACAATCTTCCTCACCAAAAATAATAAGATAAAATTAGTGGACATTAATGGGACAAATGGGGAAATTTGAATAAGGCTTGTGTAGATTAGATAATAGCATTACTACCTAGTAGTATTAACTCCCTCTGTTAATTTCCTGATTTTAATAATTGTGCTGTGGTTATATAAGGTATTAAAATAGGGCAATCTGGGTGATGAGTGTATGAGAAATCTTTGTACTGTTTTTGCAACTTTTTTTTTTTTCTTTTTTGAGGAAGACTTGCCCTGAGCTAACATCTGCCAGTCCTCCTCATTTTTGCTGAGGAAGCCTGGTCCTGAGCTAACATCCGTGCCCACCTTCCTCTACTTTATATGTGGGATGCCTACCACAGCATGGCATGCCAAGCAGTGCCATGTCCGCACCCGGGATCCCAACCAGCGAACCCTGGGCTGTTGAGAAGTGGAACGTGCAAACTTAACTGCTGCGCCACCGGGTTGGCCCCTCAACTTTTTAAAAAATCTGAAATATTTCAAAATGAAAAATTAAAAGTTTTAAAAGTTAGTGATTATTTGGTCCTTAAAATACTATTTCTCAAACCATTTGCCTTGAATTCTATCTTGAGGGGATACAAATAAAGTTCTAAATCACTGTCTCCTGTAAGGTTAAACCGCCTACCCCTCTGTTTTGTGGATCAATATCATCTTCCTACTGTTACTTCTCATGGGAATACCTGTCAGAAGGATCACTTCCTTTATTTCATTTTGGGAGGTAGAGTAGATCTAAAAGGGCACATTAATAAGAAGCCAGAATGATAAAAGTGGTATTCATCAAAGCTTTTTTCTAGTTTTGTTTTTTTTTTAAGATTGGCACCTGAGCTAACATCTGTTGCCAATCTTATTTTTATTATTTTTTCTTCTTCTCCCCGAAGCCCCCAGTACATAGTTGTATATTCTGGTTCTGGGTCCTTCTGGTTGTGCTATATGGAACGCCGCCTCAGCATGGCCTGATGAGTGGTGCCATGTGCATGCCCAGGATCCAAACCAGGGAAACCCTGGGCCGCCGAATCGGAGTGTGCAAACTTAACCACTCGGCCACAGGATTGGCCCCTCCAGTTTTCTTTAACTTAATAAAAGCAGACTCTTTGCCTTGAAATGAGACTCACTGGCCTGGCTTCCTTAAGTTCGTTGTCCCTGTAAAGGGTTGTGCTCACTGCAGTTAATAAGACTCTCTCTTCTGAGGGATGTTAAAAATCTCAGCTGGGGGGCTGGCCCCGTGGCCAAGTGGTTAAGTTCGCGCGCTCCGCTGCAGGCGGCCCAGTGTTTCGTTAGTTCGAATCCTGGGCGCGGACATGGCACTGCTCATCAGACCACGCTGAGGCAGCGTCCCACATGCCACAACTAGAAGAACCCACAACGAAGAATACACAACTATGTACCGGGGGGCTTTGGGGAGAAAAAGGAAAAAATAAAATCTTTAAAAAAAAAAAAAAAAATCTCAGCTGGGGGGGCTGGCCCCGTGGCACAGCGGTTAAGTTCGCATGTTCCACTTCTCAACGGCCCAGGGTTCGCCAGTTCGGATCCCGGGTGCAGACATGGCACCACTTGTCAAGCCATACTGTGGTAGGTGTCCCACATATAAAGTAGAGGAAGATGGACACGGATCTTAGCTCAGGGCCAGTCTTCCTCAGCAAAAAGAGGAGGATTGGCAAAACATGTTAGTTCAGGGCTAATCTTCCTCAAAAAAAAAAAATCTCAGCTGGATATACCTACACAGCTCTGCCTTAGATACTGAGCCAAGGGGCCCATTTCACAGTGTGAGCACCACTACCCTAAGTAGAGATTTAGTAAAAGAAAGATCTTCCTAAAATAATTATTAACATTTTCCTACAGATTTCTTTTGAATTTCGCTCACTTCTACATTCTCAGCTTGCCACGTTGTTTTTCGATGAAGTCGTAAAGCAGATGGTAACTGCCTTTGAAAGAAGAGCTTGTAAGCTGTATGGTCCAGAAACAAATATACCTCGGGAATTAATGCTTCATGAAGTTCATCACACATAAAGAGAAAAAGAACTGGTCACCTGCTTGTAACTTTAGTTTATTCACTTTTAGGAAGTACTTTCTTCATTTGCTTTCAGAAGTCAGAAAGCATTTGTTAAACCCAGCTTTGATTATAAACCTGCACCGTGGAACATTTGCACTTGGAATATGGAACCACATGTACATAGAATTCAATCAAGTGTAATTCAAAGCAATATGTATATTAGCGTATTTACAGTAATGGGATCACTATTGCTAGAATAGTGACATCACTCTTCTGAGCAGAAATTGAAACTGTCAGTTTAAACCTTTTAATTATCACCTTACCTGAAAGGTTAGTTGAGATACTCACATAGTATGTATTATATTAACCATATCACATTTAAGTTATTAAGTTCAGACTATTTATAACTTATTGTCATAGGGCCTGCCTCATGGCTTAGGGTATTTGAGTAATCATCAGATATTTAAAGTAGAAACTTTGACTTAAAAATACTGTTAATGAAGGTTCCCTGGCACCTTTCTTATTTTTAAATTGTTCTTACGAGTAGCAGTAGAGAATTCGGTGCTTTGGGGAGGTTAGCTCTCGGATGAAGTGAGTAGTTTTTTTGGTGAGTGGTCCAGAACTTTAAGCTACTTTTCTCACAATTTGCAACTCTCTCACAGGTGCTTTGACTGCTCTTTGAATAATGGTCATTGTGTGTCAGATTTTTCTGTAACAGTGGGCAGCAGATGAAGATAAGTCAGTTGATGTGTCCCCAGCACCATGCATCCCTATTTTCTATTTATTATGTGTCTTCACTTTCAATAATATATTTCAGACTGATATTTTTATAAACAAATCAATGTAAGGGCTGAAGTTGTAACTTAATAAAGTTAATTTGTTTATTTTTTTGTACAGTTATTTTGCTTACTGAAATCCTATATTTCAGTGTGTATTTACATAGACACAGTAAAAGTTAATTATAGCATTTTATGTCTTAAAACACTTTCACAGAAACAAATCCGGGCAGAATTCAGTCTTCTTTAGTCGACACTGACCTCCTTCCCTCCATTCACACCGCACCCAGCAACCTCTTGCATTGCCCTTTCGAACACAGTGCTATTCACTTTGTTTCCTCAGATCAACAAGGAGCTTCAATAATTACTGCTACATAAAGGCGTGTTTACATCATTTTGTTCAATAAATGTGTTTTGAGTACCTGCTCTCTGCCAGGACTCATACAGTCTACTCACATGGAGCTTGCCTTTGGCTTCACACAGGTAAAGCACTGTCTTCCCACTTACAGATGAGGTATCTTCCCAGAGCATAGATAGTTTGTGTATAATTATATACCTTTTAAATAACAAAGCTTTTAAAATATGGCAAAGATAAAACCCAGATACTTTCATTTTTCCCTGTACAGTACTACTCATTTGATGGAAAATAAGAACCTATGCTTTAGCACTATGCTTACAAATGCCATGGGAAGACTCTTAGGTTAGAATCTCACCTAGTGGTGGGAATGTAACTGGGCTGGTATTATGATAGTATGTAGATGGCATCTTGGTGAGGGAGCCTAGGAATACCCAAATACTGCCGTAGTCTAGCCATCCCTTTGACCCAGGAGGTTCCCTAAGTGTGGTGAGAACCCAGGTCACAATAAGTGGTAGAGACAAGATACAAACCCAGGCATTGTGGCCCCAGTATCTCTGCTGTTGCTTTATCTAGTACGTCAGTGTGGAAGCCAAGACCTGTGGACTTACTTGGCGTCTGTGTTCTCCATATTGTAAAAGGGAAAACACCACCACCTTTAGGAACGTTTCTTGAAGAGGCATCTGGTCAGTGGAATCTGAGGGGAAGCCCGATGGGATGGGGCTGCTAGGTAAGATTTTTCTCTCTGTGGAAAGAAATTTGGAAGAGAAACTTCTCTTCCTTGGTTTTTGCCTGATTGCATGAGGGCATGAAGTTTGCAGCTACATCTGCCGTCTTTTCACCAAGAGGGAAGAGGCGAGATAATTCCAGAGAAGTCGACTCAAAAGTCTAACATCATCCAAAGTTGAATGAACAACCTTGTAGTTGTCCACTTTGCGCTTCTGGTTACATGAGGTGACAGGCCTCTGGTGTTTCTCGCTTGAAGTCAGGGATTCAGTTACTTGCAGCGGCTGTATCCTGCTCCAGTCTGAACCGGTCGCTCTCTAGGCTGTTGTGCAACTGTAATCCTAGGGCTCCCCTGCAGTCATCCTGAATCTTTGGACTTCCTTTTTGATTTACTCTCAAAATGTTGAGGAAATCTGGTGGCTTCCTGAGAAAGAGCAGATGGGAGCTACATTTTTAGAATCCCTGAATGTCTGAATATGTCACCGTTTTATACTCCCTCTGGATTGAGTATACATCTCCACGTTAGAGATGATTTCCCGGGGCTAGCCTGGTGGTGTAGTGATTAAGTTTGTGCGCTCTACTTCAGCAGCCCAGTGTTCACCGGTTCCAAACGCAGGTGTGGACCTAGCGCCACTTGTCAAGCCACGCTGTGGCAGCATCCCACACAAAGTGATGGAAGCCTGGCACAGAAGTTAGCTCAGCGACAATCTTCCTCAAGCAAAAAGAGGAAGATTGGCAACAGATGTTAGCTCAAGGCCAATCTTCCTTACACACAGAAATAATAATAATAATTTCCCTGCAAAATTTGAAGCTCTGACTTGTAACGGCATCCAGAGCTGCTCTCAAGAGGTCTGTGGCCATTCTTATTCCCAGTCCTTTGTATAGCGTTCACTCTCTTTGTCTCTGGAAGCTTTTAAAATCTACCCTTTGCCCTGGGTAGTCTGAAATTGCATGCTGATCTGCCCTGTTGCCCTGTATTAGTTAATTGTGCTGGGGCACTTTGTGGGCCGTTTCAGTCACAGGCTCATTTCCTCGAGTCCTGGGGAACTTCTTTGAATTATGTGTTTATAATTTCTTCTTATCCGTATTCTCTGGTTCTCTCATTCAGCAATTCCTAAGTAGTTAGACATTCTACCTCTTGTATTAAATATTTATCTTTTTTCCTATTGTCCATCTTTTTGGTCTGCCTTTTAGATTTACTTAATTCTATCTTCCAGCCCTTTTTGTTAATTTTATATTTGCCATAGTTTTAATTTCCAAGAATGTTTTATAATTGTTCCTTTTTTTTTTCCCGAGGAAGATTAGCCCTGAGCTAACATCCATGCCAACCTTCCTCTCTTTTGTATGTAGGTTGCCACCATAGCATGGCCGCCGAGGAGTGGTGTAGGTCTGTACCTGGGAACCAAACTCAGGCTGCCGGAGCAGAGCACACTGAACTTAACCACTAGGCCTCAGGACCAGCCTCTAATTGTTCCTTTTTTATAGCTTCCTTCTTTTGTGGAAACAAGACCTCAACTTTCTTAAGATATTAATTATGATTTTTTTTAAGTTTCCTCTAGGTCCCTTCTGGGTTTTGCTGCCATCCTTCACATTGACGGCTTCCTCAACCGTCTAATGGTTCTTGTTTGTCCATTAATATTTGAAAGCAAGGTACTAAAAATCTTCCTGGAATTAGGTGGGGTATATAGACTGGTGAGTTTTGCTGTAAGGTGATCAGATGAGCCAGTCTTTTCAGTGGGGACTGGCAAATGGCATAATCTGGAAGTCTTTCCTCACAGTTTTTCTACATAAGGATTCTCCTATCTCTCGCCCTAGAGGAATATAGGGGAGAGGGACAGGTGGAGTAGAAATAATGCCTGGCTGCTGGCCTTCTGTAAGGTTAGTAAGGGACTGATGGTCCCGCAGTTTGGAATGTAGGCTTTCCTTTATCTGTTTTTAGCTCCCTCTCTCACCCTGGCTCTCTGCTTTCTCTGGTGTCTCAGGCTGAGTCATTCCTATCAATTTCCACAGAGAACTGACCCATTTCCAGGGGCAGGCAACAGTCACCCGGTAGTGTGGGAAAGGGGGAGACCTGGGGGTCCAGTACCTCAGTAATATCCTTCCGCTAATTTACCCTTGTTTCCAGTCCACACTTGGCCTCACCTGACCCCCACCACCCTCAGCATCTGGTGAGTCCAAGTGGTAAATCTCTGGGAGAGTTCTGTGGGACTCTTGTTCTTGCATGCTTCTTGTATTCTTCAGGTCCTTAGGTTGTAACTATCTCAACTCACGTTATCACTTATCCGGCCATTTACTAACTTCCTAGAGATCGCTGATATCCGTCATCTGCAGTTGTCTCCACCTTTTCTTTGTAATTTACTTCATCACTGTTTAGTGGGATTATGAGAATAAGTAATAAATATGAATGGCGAATTCACGGGTTTGTATGTTTAGTATTTTTCTTTTTAAAGATTTTTTTTTCCTTTTTCTTCCCAAAGCCCCCCCGGTACATAGTTCTGTATTTTTAGTTGTGGGTCCCTCTAGTTGTTGCATGTGGGATGCCGCCTCAGCATGGCTTGATGAGCAGTGCCATGTCCCAGCCCAGGATCTGTACCGGCGAAACCCTGGGCCGCCAAAGCAGAGTGCAGGAACTTAATCACTCGGCCACGAGGCCGGCCCCTATTTGTTCTTAGTGTTGATAGTCAAAATGTTAGAGATCAAAATCTGGTCCTAGGGATGTACACAAGAATTGGTGATGGGCACAAATGCTATTCCTGCTGCTACTGTTATTGTTAGGCCATTTTTTGGTGACAGAGTCAGAGATAGAGATCATTTGTTACTGAATTCAGAATAATTATTTTTAACTTGACAGTTAACTTCACTCCATTTTTCTTATATTAACATGTTTCATCAACCACTTACTCCAACACAGACAATCCTTTACATTTAGCCTAGTTCGAGAATCATCAGGTAAGGGTACCAGGAACGTACCCTTCGTCACGTGCCCCAAACCCTGCTTTTCAGGTTTGAGGTTCTCCAAGACCTGAGCCTAGCTGGGGCTACCTGGGTTGCAGTAGAAACATTCCATTTTTTCAACTCTTTTCCTGAAATAGCAGGATCTGACTTTATAGTGACATTCTTTTTTCCTTGGTTATTTTGTCTACCCATTTTTCAAACAGATTCAGCTGCATTTTTAAAAGTTCACCTCCAGGGTTAGAGCTAAATATTGGATCAGTGTTTGCGTCCCTTCCCCCATGCCCTTTTTTTCTTTCAGGCTCATGCATTCATTCTAACACACTCCTGCAAATTTTGTCTTGGATGGGCCCTCCATGGGTCCCTACTGTTCAAATAAATCCTGCTTGCTTTCACAGTAACTAGGCAATTCCATCCTGCCAACTTTTTTCCATTTTTCAGTCCAACATCTGATTGGGGCCTGGACATTATAGTTTGTTTGGTTTCCCAAGGGATTTCCATGAACATCCGAAGCATGTTTCCTCAGAGATCTACATTCCTGCCTCCTCACCTACAGTCACTGGCATCTTTAATCTTCACCAAACAATGTTTGAAGGAACCATCTTCATCCTTAACACCCCTGCTCATCTCTGGACTCTCTCCAAAACTGCAATCATCTTGTTCAGTTGTTCCATTCAAGAAAGGAAAAGGGGATTTCCCAATGTATCGATTTCTCTGGCTGCAGCTTTTGGAGGGTTTCTTAGAATTGTCCAGATCCTGGCTTAGAGGTTCATTGCAGGCTTGCTCTTTGGTGTGAGTTTAAGCTCTTCAGTCAAACCCTGTTTCAAATCTGGGGTCTACCACTTATTAGTTCTGAGTTTGTGTAAGTTATTTAACCTTTCACAGAGCCTCAGTTTACATAACTGTAGCATTAATTAGTCCCTAATCCAAGATTGTTCTGAGGGTTAAAATAATGCACCTACTTAGTTGTGTCCAGCACATAACACTGTAACTTCTGTTAATCTCTTTAGGCTCCATTCTCTCTGATCTAATAGCAACTAGAAAGCTTTTACAGTCCAGCTATTTCTCATTCTTTAACTTTTCTT